ATCGTTTTTTTTTTTTTGTGTAATTAATAATTTAATGATATATTATTAGGTATACTTTTGTTAGACTCTCTTGCATCCTAAGAATTTCTCTTACAATTAAATTTGTTAAAGAATCTGTTCCTGAAAAAGATATTTGAGATACATTTAATATTATATTTTTATTATTTATTTATGCTTCTGCTATAGGAATATTATTTCTTTTAATACAAAAGAGATTAACTGAGAGAAGAAATGAGAGAGCGAGAAAGAGAGAGAAAAATTTATCAACGATTTTCTTTTTTTTTTTTCAAGATCTCGCGAGCTGATCAAAACTGCCATACTGGACAACGACTTCATGAAAAATTTGGAACTTACACAAATCCGGGAGATTGTCGATTGCATGTATCCTGTTACATTTCCAGCTGGTTCGATAATTATACAAGAGGGAGATGTCGGCTCTACTGTCTTCGTCATGGAGGGTAAGTAAATAGCTCATCTTTATGAAATGTGACAGTTCCGGGAAAATCCGTAAAGCGTTACGAAAATTGCTGCTTGAAGACAAATTAAATAATAAATAGATCGCTAATAATAGCACACGATGATAACAGAAAATAAATATTAACTGTTTCTGCGAAAAGTTTCAGTTTCGTACAAAGCGAATAAAAATAAAGTATTTGCTTTTTTATTCGAACTCGGTTCGAACTGTTTGATAAACTTTTATATCATAGGATAGTTAAAAATATAAGAAATACACTTATTTTATACATATTTTAACGGAAATTATGGACTTTTCAAGACTAACTTGATACACATTTGCTTTTAAATATTAACTATAAAATATAAAAACTTGTTCCAAGCAAATTCGTAATTCTGTGAAAAAAAGATTTAATTAAGTACATTTAGTTATTTTATATTTAATCAACTATTTCGAAACTATATATTATAGTAATTTATTTGATTTCTCTACTGATTGTGATTTCTTTTTACGAGCCAATTTTTTCTCATACGTGACCGTTTCTCCACCGTTGTAATGCGTCGAGAATAAAAATTGTTCTATGATATTTAGAAAAAACTTTCGCCTGCAGATCCATTTTTATTCTTATATTGTTTGCATATTGCGATGCTTTTTTATGTGAGAATACCGACACAAATGCACCTGTTGGTTATCTGTTGTTATTCTCCGACTATATTTGTTCAAGAATATCCCGCACGGGAAAAGCTTTCACCATTTATTTTTTTCCTGCATAATTACAATTGACAATATGGAATCAACAGGAAAAGCAACGGGTCTGTCTAAGAAGATTGTATTGTTATTAACTGGAGTGATTACCTGTTCTGCCTTGAGATGTTTATAAATCTCCTTATATCTTCAACTTTGTGCAAATATTTTAAAAACATGATATCGTAATTTTATTTATAGACTCTATGTAAAATAAAGGAAAATAGATTCTTTTTGTCGAACATGCATGAGAAAAAGTTTATAATGTATATATTATGATATAATGCATGCTTATCTAAATAATTGAATTTCTTGACGCATATTTTTTACGTATATTTCTTACATATATAAAAAAAAAATTCTACATTGTGCACTTAAGCTATCAGGTAATGGCACCGTGTGATTTTTCAACTTCGTTTATCTTTACGGAAGCGTTCGCAATTATCTGTTCAAGTTCGATGAACTTTTATGTTATAGAATAACTCAAAAAATATAAAAAAAAAAGAGGTAAACTTATTTTACATATACATATATATATCTTAATATAGATTGCGAAATGACTTTTCAAAATTAATTTATATATTTTGCTTTTAATACTAACTATAAAACTTTGAAAGTTGTCCCACGTATAAGTTCTCTAATTACTTGGAAAATAAGATCCATATTTATTTATTTTATGTTATTTCGCTGAGACGTCCAAAAGTCAAAGAAAAACAGAAGTATATAGTTTTAAGAGGGATAGTCTCAATCATTTTCTTATTGGACGGTTGATGATCAGCGTAATGCCTGAGTAATTAACAACGAATGCAAGTAACGTAATGGTTATGTAAAACAAATATTTTTTAATTGATTTTTTTACGTACATATTTTCTTATTGCTTATTAAATTCAGTTAAATTTATTTTAGTTCGACATGTTTAAGTATCGTTTGTATTGAAATTATTACTATTTACATAAGTTGAGACGTAAATGCATAATACTTAAGGGATTGCTACAAATATGTGATTACGTAATTCGTAAGCTTAAACATACTACTATATACGAGTAAGAACTGTAAGAGTAATTTACGCGAATATCAAACAGGCAATTATCATCGACGTTAATTTTGTGTTGACAGTAAAATTGTTTAGTCAGTTATTTATTAATAATGCGTCATTTTATTAGAAAAATTACATATTCATCATAACTTGAACAAATTTTACGCCTTTCTATATAATTTTTGTATGTAAAAATAATTTTTATAAAATTTTTTTGGAAATTCGTTTTCTCCTGTACATATCTCTTGGAAAAATACAAGTAAAGAATGATTTTGCTAAAATATCTAAAAATTTAATTCAATACAAATCTGAAAATAATTTTGTTAGACTATCAAAATAATTGTGTAGGATGTTCAAATTGGTTGCTAGAATATCAAAATTTTTTGCAGTATTGCAGCATTATGTTTGAATTTTCTACACAATATTTGGATAATCCGACAAAATTATTTTTAGATCTATATCTACTTAAATTTTTAGATATTTAAACAAAATCTTTCCGTGTAACACAATTAAATGTACAGATATGTTTAAAACTAAGACAAATTTTGTTGCATGAATACTGGTTTTAATCACAACTTATAGAAAAAGTTTTTCATTGTATTCATTATCATATTTCACATTTAGCATTTGACATATATTCAGGTCTGAATTAAATTTTCTATTTAGATTCTGATCAAATAATATCTAATTGTATTGTAATTTTATACAATAAAAGTTTCCGGATTTTGGACGTATTAGATTTAAATATTCACATCTGTTCCACAATACGAATTAGTAAATACAGATATTGAACGTTAAGTGATCTCTACAATAGAAACGATCTGATATCGACTAAATTTATATAAAAACAATTACTCTCTGCTCCAATGCAGTTCTTTTTCTCCCGGAATTCGATTTCCGTTGGACAAGGATATCGCGCCGATGCCATTTCGTAATGAATGACGTACCGCGTTTTACTTTTACGTAAAAATGCAATACTTGTCGCTTTTCCCTCTCTTTCTCAACTGATCCAATCATTAGTATTATCACTCATCCGTGTCGTTGTAATTACGTAATTAAAAGCGAACATTCTCCGTATATACATATACACACATAGTACGTATATTGTGATTATTGTTTAACGATGAAGTGCAGGAAAGTTTTCATTAATCATATACGAAAATTTTTATTAGTCATTTCATTTTCATGACGTTTCAGAAATTTAACGCAGATTTGCTTTGCATTATGAATTTAAGAAAAACGTGTTTAAATATCTTAAAGCTCTAACTTTCATTCGATTGAACATTTTTAAAAGATTCAATATATACAGATTGTACAAAAAAAATATTAAATTACTGCAAAATGCATTATAAAGATAAAGTATTAAATTTAAGCAATAATATTGATATACGTACAAAAATATGTGTAGATATACAAAGATTATTTTTGTACACTGTAAATACTTTTATAATATTATAATACATTTGCATTATAAATTAGATTACATATTGTTTCCCCGTATCTTTTTATTTTACATTTACACAAGAACTTACATTTATCTTCATCGGCTCATTATTACACCTAATGAAGTTAGCGGGGACTTATAATTTCTGAGACCCGGACCTTTGCGATCACAGGTATAAAAAGAAGTGCCGTTGCACTCATACATGGAAGCGGTTGCGGGGGCGAGTACGGGATGAAATGAGAACCTCTGTCCTTTCTCTCACGAGTACATATATCCATGGTGGGGACTCCCGCGGTTCGCCAAGGGAAGGGAGTTTCTCGTGGTGCTGCTTGCCGCTCACGGGCATACTTTTCACCAGTCGCGAATACTGTCAGTGAGCGTCAGACGCGATGCGATTCGCAATCGTAGTGTTCTCCTTTGACAGGATTCTTCTCCCGCATTATTTTCAAAAGTAAAACTACTAGCTAGCTACTTGTGACGCAACGTGACATCGTTTAACGTTATTTATCGCTGTTTATCAATTATCTGTGTCGAAGGTCCAGGTTACAAAATCCAATGTAAGTGCGAAAGAAACAATTTTACGATCGTATTTGAAGCTTTTATAAATAACACAGAAAATTCGTCGTTATGTTCTTCATCTTCGTCGATTACGTTCTTTATCCTTGATCCTCGTCCATCCTAGACAAGGATCTTATTCACTCGAGGACAACGAGAAATAACAGAATCCTGTGAAGACTCAACAAGTTCTGTAGGAGCTAAGAACATCGGTAGTCTGGTGATGACTCGATTTCCCGCACACCGTTGTTTCGTAGCACGCCGGTTTGCCAGTGACGGCCGGATAGCGGAAGTCGCGAATGAACGGTCGTGAATACGCGGATCCGACGTCAACGTCCGTCGAACTTGTTTCTTGGTCTTGTCGTCCGTCTGTCGGTAGTCCGCCTACTTTCGTGGTAACGGAACAGTAAGCCACATAAATATCGAAACGGATAGGAATGCCGATGGCTTTCGAACCTGATGATCGATGCGAAAATCCGAAGATAAGTGATCTTTTCTTTCGCGTGGGTCGTCGATCTTTGTTCTGGACCGACGCCAGACTCGTGCCGCGATGTTTCTCGGTTGTTTCAACTGGAACTTCACGTTCCCATCCCGAACGTTAATGAATCCGGTCTGTGAATTTCAATTCTCATCTTCGTGAACCGCTTCGACAGCCGATTGCTTTGTTGTTCGTGCACGATTTGTAATCAACAAAGTTTAAGAAGATCAAAAAGACAAGGAGAAATAAACATAGACTGTTGAATAAATCTCGGATCCACAGTGGAAAGGCGAACTAGAGAGTCAAGAATGTGTCTACTTGCAGGAACGCTATTAATCTTGTCTCACCGAATGAAAGCGATGCTAGCGTTGTCGCCACGCAGCGCTCGACTTTTGACCTTTGCGCAGTAGGACTCGAGAGGATCGAAAAAAAAAAAATCGCGAGCGAAAGTCTCGCCGACCGAGTAGACCGTGTAGAGCGGGACGCCCGGCCCAACTCGGTTTCTCGATCTTCGCTCTGTTCGTACGCGACTTTCGAGGTCATGAAGGTCCGGAGTTATCCCGGCCGGGCGGTTCTGGAGGATCCCGAACTCCTCCTGGACCCGGACGCGACGCGCGGCAGGGCTATGGAACTGCTCTACGAGGCCAGCTGGCGAGAGTGCGGGGTCAACTGGACCAGCAACGGCAGCAGCAAGATTTCCGCCAGGCAACAGGATGACGAGCCTTACAGGCGAGCATACGCCGATGAAGTGGTATCGCGATTCGAGGCCGCGTTGGAGGATCCGAACAATGGGCCGTCCTCGGCAAAAGAGGAAGACGCGCGGTCCAGGGGATCCAGCAGCACCGGTACCACCGACAGCGAATGCCTCGAGACGAACCAGCCGTCACCTGACAACGCTCAAGGGGGCTTCCTCATTCCGCGGCCGAGATTGATTGTGCCAGTTCATACCTACGCGAGGAGAAGACGTACTGGCGCACCGCAGCCCATAAAGAGACGTCAGATACGCGAAGGTATTTGTCTATCACGGATATGACGTGATCCGGGTTGGTTCTTGTTAGGTTTTTCTCAGGAATATGTCAATTGCTTTACACCGCTCCCGATTACATGTGTACTTTATACGATCGTAAAATCGTGCAATCTCTTTACGCAGATTCTGATTAATTCCAAAGAAATTTGTTCGTAACTGAAATGTTAGTTCAACGCAATCTTTTTCCAAAATTTTGGTCTTTTTATGGATATTTCAAAAATTATAATTAAAATTTTGTTTATAAGTCCAACTTGCAGGGGAATATCTCTAAAACTGGAGTTCTATCTTTACCAGAGTCAAACCTTTTATCCTAGCAAACACCGACAATCACATCTTTCTATTGGCTGCTTTCCTGCGTATTTCGATCACCATTTTTTACTTAACTAGTCTATCATCGATTAAGCGCTTAGTAATTCTTTAATTCTTTCATATGATACGATTATTAGAGCAAACATGGCACACCTTTGCACTACTTTGATAAATCTAGAGCTTTACTTAAAACATGACTTTGTTATTCGTCTGAAGACTGAAAATTTTAATTCGTGAAAATATTGGCGTTTCAACATTTCAATTAAGGGAAATATCGAAAAACCATTAATTTAAATTTGCAATTATTACGAGATAACTGTACCAAATTAAAAAACATATAGAGTATATCCGAAGTTACACATTTCTCGAGAGAAGTCGCACGATCTTCTACAAAAAAAGAAGAGAAAGTACGTGATTTCCGAGGCACTGTGTACACGGTTACCGGACGTCGTTATGTCTTACAATTAAATATGTATATGATACACGTTTATATAATTATTCTGACATGTAGAGGGAATGAACGTAACATGGAGCGGATCGCACGCAAACGCGCATGCACACGCACATCTATATCCGCAGTTTTCTTTGACGCGCGTGGATAGGACAAAGGTTTTTGGTACCGATGTCGCGTGAAGTCGACCTCGATATCGTATTTTTTAGAGCACGAAACCGGATTATCTCGCGAAATTGGCTCTTCGTCTATTTCGCTCGAGAAAAGCGATCTTATCATTCACTTTGTACACGCAATTGTGTTTGCGTTTTGCAACGACACGTTTCAATTATCTATACAACACGGATACGAAAGGCGTTCCGAATTTCTATATATCCATGATTAATGCACTTTAGATAAATTACATTTATATTAGTCTCACCATAAAATCTGCAAATTAGCATATCTGTGAATAACGTATGAATATTCGGACTATTGACATTTATAACGAAATTGTCAGGATATTTATAAAACAACATGAATAATTTTTTCCATTTTTAGAATATTTATAGATATATCTTTCAATTTATAATAAAAGATAAGCTGTTACTTATATATTTTATTTTACAATTCAGACGAAAAAACATCTTGAATTTTTGAATTTAATTTTGCAATAAACACTTTCAAAACTTTCTATACATTTAATTTCGTATTTATATAAAAAAAAACTTTGAGTATTTATTGACTATATTACATTCCAGATAAATTGTGTGTCGACTTTGAATTTTTTAATGTAAATTCTTACTAGCAGGTTTATCATTTGCAAGTCAATTTGTGGCATCATGCGCTATCGAGAGAAAGTCGTATATTGACGTGTTATTAAGAATAATGGAAAGCAAAGTTGACTTCGTCAGTTATCGTCAGTTTTACATATAGTGACATTCGAATATGTTAAACTCGATATTAACATTTCTGTGCATTCAGTTGCAATTATGTATAAATACGTTCATAAAAGTCGTGTCAATTTATTTGACACAACAATGACATTTTGTAAATTTTATCTGGTATATTTCAAGAAACCGAATTAATAAAAATTTAATAATCTGCATGATTTTTTAGAATTTTTTTTTCTTATAGTTTGTTTATCGAACATTCGAAAAATTTCATTCAACACTTGCATGTCGCTGGTAGGATTCTTATCAACGCGTATGCCGCTTTAAATTAGATAAACAAGAAAAAGGTGTTTACATTATACCTACAAACTTTACATTGCTGCAACACATGCAACAGTTATAAGTTTTTGTATGTCTCTAATGTCATATAAACGTGCATTAAAGTGTGTCATTTTTTTCTGAAAAGAAAGTCTCAATTTCTCAATGAATGTGAATGAGAACTACAATTATTCTAATGGCACAGCATGCATGTTTGACACAGCCGATTTAACATAATATTCGCATGAAATATATACAGAAATTGAATGTTTTATTCGATTTTGTTGCCGCAATTATTTCATCAAAAATAAGAATACAAGCGATAACTATGCCATTGAGCTTACAATTTGATGAAATTGAAATAACCAAATTCAGAGAAACATATAATGATAGTAACTATAAACATAACACACACACACACAATTATGTAAATTTTACATAAAATTTATATAATTAAAGTATATAAATATAAATTTCAACTGTGTACATTAATTCAACTATGTATATTAATTTTACGTATAAAATTTTGTAATATTAATAGAGTTGAAATTTGACTATCACTATATTTTTTTTCTCTAATTGTGAGTGTCAACAGTACTAGAATTGTAAGTGAGGATGATATTTCAAAATTACAGATGAGTCAACAAAATCGGATTGCGAACGAAATGTATATTCAATCTGTTTGTGCTAAAATGACTGTATTAGTTTAATAGACTCGTAAATACTTTTTATTGATGACCTCAAATTGCTCTTCTATTCCTGAAAACGCGAGATTTGTTAAATGTGCTTTTACATAAAATAGGAAATATAATAGTAATGATTAATTTATAAATCTTTTTCTTATGTAAATCTTGTTTCTTTCATTTCACTGTAACACGCGAAGTATCCAGATGAGGTAAGATGCCCGAAATGTTTGATACTCGAGGCATCTGGTTTTAAAGATCGTCTATAGAACTGGAAATCTCGACAGCTGCTACACGACAGAATCTTTTTTTGTCGTCGAATTCAAGTTTTCGAGCAAACATTGCCGAGCCTACCTTTATTCAGCAAACATATAAGACGATTTTAATTAACTACTTTCTCTCTAATCTTATATTCACGCGAACGCGCAATATATGTAGGCATATACTGCATACCGCAGACAGAAATTTATAATCCTATAATAATCTTAATTTTTCAGTTAATTATTACATTTATCTGCATGCGATAAATCATGCGATTAGATCGACAACGTTTTAGTGTTACTTAATGATAATTATTGGACACATGATAATTGGAACGATAATTTCGAAAGACGACTGAAATTCAGGCCGGATATAATTACTCTTATCATCTTTTCAATGATAAATCAAATTAATAACTTGAATAAAATATTAAAAGCGTTTGATACACGCACGCGAGATTATATTGTTACAGAGTGTTACATATGAATTCGTTCGATTGTTGTCATTTTACTCGATCTGTTATTTCACATCAACAGCATCGTTTTTTGAACGCCATGTAAAATCGCTTAGATCCTGCGATTTATTTTTGTCAAAGCGTCATCGTGACTCAACAACGGCTATGTAATATACGTCTCAAGTGCTAGCGATACTTGAGGACCACACTAACCGCGTCGTTTCCGTTAATTAAAATTATAATTCTCAATAAAATACAATGAAATATAATCGTTGTCTGTATACGTGTAGGCCTAATTGTCTAACTGCAGAAATAAATCTTGTGTCCTACTAAGGGTAATTAAGCAGAGTCGTAAAAAGCGAGCATTTTAAGGACTTTCTTAAATGATGAATCTGTTTGTGCGATTACACCTCGTTTAAAAATTTGTATGTATAATATCGAAATACATACAGGAAATTTGAATACGATTTAATGATGTATCATACACATTTTCACAAATGTATTAATATTTATATTTTAAATAAACTATATAAATAGTTTATTTATTCTCATTAGCTTTGAAATTTACTTATTATTATTTTATCTACTTTATTTTTTATTGTTAAATGCTAAAATTTTAAAAATGACATCTTAATTTTTTTGTATAAGTGCTTTAAGTATTCAAGATTTATACGAAATTTGTAGAGATTACTTCTTCTATAAATAAACAAATAAACTTTGTTTATTTGCGGAATAACTAATCTCTGCATCGCAATGAAACTTCATATAAATCATCTTAAATATTTAAAGTATTCACATAAAAAATTTGGGACTTTTGTAATTATTTCTCAATTATATTTCTATTACAACACAGATAAAAACACTTCTAATTCTTACTGAAATAATTTTTGATTCAGGTTCTAAATCACCACCAAATTTTTTATATTACTTTTAAGTACTAAGATTTAATCTGTAATTTTTTCATTATTTTGAAAATGCGTGTAATACTTCCTTAATTAAATATATTACTTAATTCAACATTGAACTCTTTTCTGTTCAAGTAATATTCACCTATTTTGCTCTTGACGGCTTTTTTGGGAGTTTTGGGAGGGATAGAAAGGAGGACAATGAAAAAAAGGATACAAACGCGCGGGTGATCGGTAATAGATGAATGTTCAACAACTGGCTGTTAAGCCGATTTCCGCAATCGTATAGTGTTCCAATTCGACATCCTGTTTTGCGCGCCTTCTATGCAAAAAACCGTGACTTTACTCTGCAGCTCAGAAGCAACAATGAGGTAATCAACGCTCGGCCAACGTTCGAGGGTTCTCGCCATAACGTTCGTACCCTCGTTGTTGCACGGTGACAGGATCTGTCCCTCAGTGCAGATACTAATCGCAAGTTAAGACCGATACCTGGAAACTCGTTTCACCAACTCTCATCAAAGGTTTTCATTCATTCATAAAATACTGATCGATGAAAGTGAAAGATAATTTCACAGAATTCCAGTTGTCGATAACTGGTCTGCCTTATTTCTCCACGAATTCTTCACTTTCTCTTAATCATATTTTTATTAGGATTTCTTGAGTTGTCTTTGACCTACATTCTGGGAAATGAAAATCGTGAATCAAATTGGTTGCACCGACGAAGTTTTCT